CTCAATAGGAGAAGATGCTACTCCTACTGATTGCTCGCTTTTGGGTTTCGAATTAGCGGGCACCATGCTATCACATGTCCCACGGTGCCGCACTTGAGGCACTGGTGATTGTCCATCTTGGACTGCCATTCCTCACATGCCACGCCCATCTTTTCCCAGGGCTTCCCGAACGCAATGTCGGGATACTCGGGAAACAAGTGTGGCCTCTTCTTCCTCTTCCATTGACTTTGGCCTCCCTTGTTGGCCATTACGCAGTGACTTCACCCTTCCCAGACTCACTGCCGCCATTAGCTACTCCTCCCTCGGACTCATCGAGGGGTAACTTTTCTACTGTCTCGTCATCGAACATGATAAGCATGTGATCGTGGCGCTTTTGCCACCAAAGGACCCGCTTGCCATACCCACCAACCGGTCCAGATTTTACTACTGACGCATAGGAACCCTTCATTTGTGCGGTCATCTACTCTCGTTGGAGAGCGAGATCGTGAAACTGCCGATAGTTGTACTTACCAGACTTAGCCTCGGCCATGAGCTGTGCGCGAATTGCCTCGGGCAAAGCTCGTGAGTAGATATACAAGACCTGGTTGTCTTGCAAATTTAGTCCACGTACCTGCAAAAGACGATCCACTTCACGAGACAGCGCATCAACAGAAGACCAACGTTTTTGCCCTATTGTGGTGAGTTCGTCAAAGGCATTGTCGGACATCGTTTTATCAAGAAATCTCTCCTTAATCTTTTGGAGACATTGTCTCAACGTAAGGGTCTTAGCCCACTCACCAATATCTTCAAAGCCAGCAGCATTGGCTTCGGACAACACCCACTCCTTGGCCACTACCCCCAGACACGACGTTGAGAAGGCCAATTGACTCTCAGGCTTGACTGGAGCGGTGTTGCAATAAGTCTGGATCTCTGCGATCCACAACAACAAGTTTTCATCTTTCTTGTTGTTGTAGGTGAATGGAAGTTGCATTTTCACCTTTTCTTTCCTCTTTGGTTTTCTGCTTCTTTAACCGGTTCTTCCTTATTGGCCGGTTCTTCTTTCTTCTCTGTCGGTTCCTCAGGTTCTTTCTTGGAGGTTCCGGGTCTTTCCGGCGTCACTCGCTTCATTGCATCCTTCATTCACTTTTATTGGGGTTCCTTCTTAACTATCTCCCTCCTGGTCTCCTCCTCAATTCCTACCTTATCCTTCTCTTTCGAGAGTTTGGTCGCTGTCTCTAATGAGGCAGTATTGCTATCAATCTTCTTCTCAAGAGAAACAAGGTAGACCATGATAGACTGTAGAATGGATGCAAGCTCGCCGCCTGCTTCTTCGTAATGAAACCTATGCCTTAATTCTTCCATGATTCTTTCTTTTTCTTCTTGTTCTTCTTGATGTCTCTGGAATTCCTCAATCTTTCTCCTTTCTTCTTTCAATGCGTTTTCTAACTGCCTGACATTCTCTTCCATTATCTCTACAGGCAATTGTGGTTCTACTTTCTTTCCTTTTTCCTCTTCTTTTCTTTTCTTTCTTTCCTGTTCCATCTTGTCCAGATTCTCGGCAACATACCGGTTAAGGGTCATTCGCCCTTGCTCTATGAGGTCATCGACCCTCTTACCGTTCTCCATCATTTGAATGGCTGTCTCTGTGGCTTTCAGTTCACCTTCTACGGCGCGCAGATTGAACTGGTCGTGAACTAGCGATTCAATTTCGAAACCGACGCCGTGTATCTCACCGAGAAGCTGGTGGAGAAGGCCGATCAAATTCTGCCTTCTCGCTTCAATTTGTCCACGGGTCTTTAATTCCCCCCCTTCTTCGTAGGCGTAGACAGTAAGAGGGATGGGAAAGAAAAAGAGAGGTATGAACCAAGTGAGAATAGAGGCACGCAGACATTTCCAGAGATAAGTCATTTTTCCCAGTGTGTAAAAGCTGCACAATAAATAAAATTAAAAGACAAAATAAATTCTACGACACACGCAACTCCTACAACAAGAAATAATCAAGGCAGATAAGAAGAAACAGATTCTCAATTGATTTCCTAAATCTGACTTTGTTGTCTGTTCTATGTGTGATGACATCCTACAGCAAGTGTACAGGTATCGCAGCCACGGCTAGTGTGATCAAGACAACAACACACAGGTGAGCATGCACAACAACCACAAAACAACCAACAGGTAAGTAGTCAGCCAACACAACAATCAACAATCAGTTGTTAGCTTCCTTCCCCTACAGCTGTACCATCTGCAGAAACAATGCAACCACAATCAACACCTCACCCACAGCAGCATTAACTGCATGCCACGTGTCACCCCTGGAATGCCAACACAGCAGCTCTATAGAGTCTGCCACGTCAGCGTCAAGGACCTGGAAGGTCAACGAAGGGGATGCCACGTCAGCAATGCACGTCTGCCAACACAGACAACACTGGCATGCCACTTCAGCTCAGCGCATCATCAGCAGGCACTTGCAACACAGGTACGTGCCACGTCAGACCATGCCCAGCCAGTAGGGAATGCCACATCAGCATCCCAACATCATGCCACGTAGGCAGTGCGCCACATCAGCGGTCCCAATCTTACACTTCAATCTCTTAACCAGCGCCACGTCAGCCTGTTGCCAACGAAACTTTCACTGGTATCTCGGAGTCTTCAATGTAGCCACGTCATCACCTTCAAGGGAGGCTGCACGCACGTGCTATACTACATGTCTAGACCTGTGGTATCAACCGCGCGCGTTAATAAACGCGTTTCATCCTGCACGTGCGACACCTCTCACTTACCTGGGTGCCACGTCAGCACCTGACAGCAGATCGCGATGAAGGAGGTATGCTCTGATACCAAATTGTAATGAACCCAGTCTGGAAGATACTCATCAGACGTCAAAGTACAAGTAGTCTCAGATCTGCATAAAGTCTCCAGTTAACGTATACAGTATCTCGTTACCAATAGACGAAGAGAATGGAGGGAGGATAGACAAGGGAGAGGGTGGAAGAGATAATCAAAGATCACACAATAATAGCCCAACCAGTCCCACTTCTTCTCCGGGCTTCTTCTCCCTCCACGTCAGCAATCGATAAACAGTAACAAGTCCAGTAAGTCTTTGATCTCACAGAAGTGCCACGTGGCACTATTCTCCCATGGAGACAGTGAAGACAATCATCGGCGTTCAATATTGACGTCAGACTCAGGTAAGTATCCCGTCCCTCAATCGTCCACAGATCCCAATCTCCCTTCCTAACGCAACCAGTCACCTCATGTAGACAGCGTGGCCAGTGCCACGTCAGCAGTAGAGACAAGTGGCATGCACCACATCAACAATGAAGACAGGTGGCAGCGCCACATCTGCAATGCAATGTAGACAGGTGGCCGCACCACATCAGCAATACAATGTAGACAGGTGGCAGCGCCAAATCAACAACGTAGACAAGTGGCCTGCGCCACATCAGCAGTGTAGACAAGTGGCCTGCGCCACATCAGCAGTGTAGACAAGTGGCCTGCGCCACATCAGCAAAGTAGACAGGTGGCATGCGCCACATCATCAATGCCTGGCGCACAGAACAGAGAGTGCCAGCATGCCGCCACAGCCCCGCGTCGTCGTCCACAATGCCAGCACACAGCCAGCGTCCAGCCAGCGTTCAGCCAGCGACCAGCAGTCAAGCTAGCATCGAGGCAGCATAGCAAGACTGAATGTTGACTTCCTGGGGACCCAGCCTTAAGTAGTGTTTGACGAGGCTTTCGAGCCTCAGGTCTCCTTCTCACAGTCGTACAGATTGACTCACAGCCGAGGGCCTGGATTGTATACAGTTGCAGACTTCTCCTTGGTCCTGATGTTGTCCGGGTACCTGCATACGAAAAGTATGTGCGTCTGACCGGCGGCCTGGGCTGGCTACACTTCGACTTTGACTGTTGAGTGTCCGACAGTTGACTTTAGTCAACTGTCACTCGTCCAGGACCTGAATCTTTGCGTGGGGTTCTTTTCCCCCTTCGGCCTGGGTCTGAGTGCGGCGGGGCCAGGCCCTCAGACATTCCATGAGGCATACTGTATGGGTTATTGCATATCCAAAAGAGCGCACCAGAGCAGCGAAGTAGGGGACAGCACGGATAAGAGAAGGGAGGAGAAAAGACACAGCAGTAGCACAAAATGAAGTGCTTCATTAAGATAGATAAGAAAGCCCTGAAGCAATGTGGTGAATGCTCCCTACATGTTTCGGCTGTGTCGCCGGCACAGCCATCATCGGAGGAAATTTGCGCTACCTACTGTTGCCTCCATCTTGCTTAAATAATCATCCTCACATCCGGCATCACCCATATTCTGGTGGTTGAACAGCATGTTTGCCCTGACGTCGAGTCACAAGAGAGAGAGAGGGGGGGGAGAGGGGGGGGAGGGAGGGAGAAAAGACAAAAGAGAAACATGCACATGGCAGGATGGTATTGGCTGGAAGTTTGGGGTCAGGAAGGGTTCAGGAGGCAGAGCGGGAGGGAAAGGGCGGGAGTCAGAAAGTGGAAGTTGGCACGGTAAAAAGGACATATCAGAGGCGCGTGGAAGATTGGTCAGAGATGGGAAGGTGGGAAGGTGGGAAGGAGAGGAAAGGTGCTTACAGTCGAACGGTCGAGATGATGTTGTCACTGCAGCATAGTGTCGCAGAGTCAGGGAGTTAAGCAGACCCAGATTACTTGGAAGATTTGGAGATGCGAGGCCGCATCCGAGAGCTGTCGAAATCCCGCACCAGTTTGTCGTTACCTTGTGAGTGAAAGATGCGACGGCGGTCCTTCCGCTGAATCAGGGTGTGCCTTTCCTCAAGGCCTTCGGACAGGATCTGAACCCAACCTTTCCAGCAGTCTCTGTTTTTCTGCGAAAATTTGTCGGCAGCCATGAAAAAAATTCCCTCCTCAAAGAATCTGGGGCGCTCCCGTCCAGTTGCTTATCACCGGCATCTTCAACTCTTTAACTTTTTTTCTTTTTTCTTTTTTTCGTAATTTTAAAACACACTCCGTGACTCCGACCTATTCCTGGGGTCTGGCAGGTGAAGGCACGAGCAGTTGGTGCACTGCATAACATGAGCTCCGACGTGGACTCCATACGCATAATTAGAAGGAACGGTGGAATCTCTCCGTTGATCGAACTCTTGAGGAGTCCACAGCCATCCATTTGCGGCTCAGCTGCTGGAGCACTACAGAACGTTTCCAGAGAGGTCGCAAGTCGTCTCATCATCCGGAAGTCAAATGCAGTTATTGCATTGGCAGATCTATTGACAAGTACGGAGCTGCAGACACAGGCAAGTTTTGTTTTTTTTGTTTTTTTTTTGTATGTCTGTTTTCCTGTCAATCTGTCTGTCTGCCTGTCCCCCTGCCTGTCTTTCTGTGCAAGGAAACCTGAGGACAAATCATGAGTCACAAGCACACTGTGTGCTACAAAAAAAAAAAAAAAAAAAAAAAAAAAAAAAAAAAAA